ATTAAGATTTAGAATTAAAATAAGAATAAAGGCAGTAGGAAGGAATAGCGTAGAGAAACATCCCACGCACGATATCTCACTCATATTTTTAGGATAAAAAGACTTCTTGAAACTAAAATTCTGGATACCTCAGAGTATTCCAATTGGCCTTTGAAAAAAAAAACTAAAAAATGTTCTTTTAAAAACGATACGGTTTCGTTTAAATTCATAATACAAAAAGAAATAATACATTGAGTATTTACCACTCAAAAATACACATTATACATAATATTTTATAGTATTCAAAAAAATACTATATACAAATAGTTTTCACAGCAAGAAGATATTGTAATATCGCTATGAAGTCGTGGTAGAAAAAAAAAGAGAAAAAAAAATACTCTGTATTTCTTGTTATTGTGGTATCATAAGAATGACATCATGAAAATGTTTTTTTAATGTCCAATATGATTTATTTTCTTGCAACATATTTTTTGTTGGGTTTAAAAAAATATAAAATTATATATATTTTTTTAACTTCAAAATTAAATCGTAGGGATATAAACAATTTAGTAATTAGAGAGAAAATCTAAATTTCATTGAACACTGCGCTACTTTATTTGCAGTTTTATCATTAACTACCATTTAACAAATTACAGATTTTATAATATGCATTGTTCATAATTAACAAATATTCTTTTATGCCAAAAGTCCTGAGAAGGAAATTACATTATTTGTTTTGAAAGCTAATGAATTTTGTCGAGTTTGCTTTTAGTTTTAAGTAATTATTCACAAAATACGAGTCACATATTCGTCATGCAGGGACCGTTACTACGCTTACAACCTTACAGCCAATTAATGATTAAGGTTAATTTTATCAAAATGTTAATAATAAATATTTTGTTGGACTCGTAAACAACGCGACATAAACATATATTTGAAGAATCACGTTTATCATCGAATCAAGTGCTGTAATTGTTGATAAAAACATTAGTTTACATTCAAAATGTGTGAAATTTTCAATGCCCACCTCCATTTCAAAACAATATTGGCATGAAAAATGTGCCAACAATAAGAAAATTAATCTTTGGATACAACAACCCACAGCCAAATTATTATTAACAAGTAAAACATAAAAACGGGGAATAATGTGGGGCAAATAAAACTATGGAGAAAAACTGGAAATCAAAACCAATTATTATANCTTATTAAGAGTAAAGGGAGAGAGTTTATGAGGAATAAAAGACTATTGTTTTTTGAAATATTGGTATAATAAAATGCACAAATTTTGCCATACACTCAAGTGCTCGTTACAAATTGAAGTTAAGTATACTGTAACGTTTTTGAATTAGGATTAGTCGTCTTAATCTATACAAAATTGAATAAACTAAAAAACAACTTACTCGGTAAGACTTTAAATATTATCGTTACTATTATATATTTCCTGTACTGTACAAAAAAATACAAATTTCCTAGAAAAAAACCGCGAGAAAACAGTTCTTTCGGATGCGCGCAACTACTTTCATACCAATCTTCCAAAGACGCGAATAAAACATTTTTTTGATAAAAATCGTCTTCATTACCGTCTCTGAATAATCGTCTTAAAATAGTTGTTAAATGCGAGAAAAAAGTGTTTTTTAGGCACTATGGAGAACATACACGCGTGCTCACACAAAACTATTGTACGATTATTTTATTATTTTTGTTGTTTAATGCATTAAGTTTTCGTAAAAATTTTTTATTCGTATTGGTAGCAAAAAATGTTCTTCAATCGAATCGAGTCTTAAACGATTATAATAAGCATGAAACGACTTGCTTGTTGAATGTAATTGTAAGGCTGCTGGTCTAGTGCATGATGATATTTTTTTGTATCATTTTAATATGGTTTGTCGAGTCTAATTTTTAATTAATATGGAGTCCCAGGAATATTGTTTTATTTTGTTTCCTTTATACCGTAGATTGTTGTTGTNAAAAATTTTTTATTCGTATTGGTAGCAAAAAATGTTCTTCAATCGAATCGAGTCTTAAACGATTATAATAAGCATGAAACGACTTCTTGAATAGACAAACTACTTTTTTCTTACAATGTCGGAATGTAGTTCAGATGAAGTATAAAAATAAAGTACCCAAATTCCAATAGTAAAAATGACTACTAACATTTAGCGAATAAATGCATAAACTGAAAAGAAAATTAAACTGCTACCAAGATAGTTTCATGCTTATCAAATAGGTAATGATACGCTCAAAATTTTGCTATTATAAGCTACAGCACCATATTCGCAATCTTATTTTTTATGGTTCATTTTTGATCACAAATAAACCAAAGAGAAAAACAAAATGAGAAACAGTTCAGCTTTTTTACTTTTTTTTTGTTGTAGGGAGAAGGAACGACTCAAGTACGTAAATTAATCAATTAATTAATTAATTGTAAGACCTATTTTTACAAACTTAAGAGTTCATCATTTTTTTACCTTTTTTCTTATAAAATAACTGCATACAAATCTGATCCTCGTGTTAGTAGTTTTTTGTTTTTTCCTGCTCTACATTTTACAGGATAGCACACTTTCTGCGTTTTACCGGTTCTGGGGGTTCCAGAGCTGCTAGAATTGCCTCGTCGAACACGTTTTTCAACCCCTTTTGTGTTAGAGCAGAACATTCCACATATTTGACAGCCTTCAATTCTTTTGCTAGTTTTTCACCTTGTTCTACAGAAATTGGTTTCTGTTTGTTTTTTGCCAATTTCTCTATTGTTGAGTTGTCGTCCCTGAGGTCAACTTGAGTACCCACAAGTAAAAAGGGTGTCTTTTGACAGTGATGTGTTATTTCTGGGACCCACTATTAAAATTTACAAGTCATCATCATTAATACAATAATAGGTCAATAACTTACTTTTTCTTTCACATTTTCAAATGATGATGGACTAACTACAGAAAAACACACAAGGAATACATCTGTCTGTGGATAACTTAGCGGTCTCAGTCTGTCATAATCTTCTTGGCCTAAGAAATAAATTAAATTCCCATTAAGTAAAGTTAAAATGCCAACTAGGCAATCATACTTTAAATAAAGACAAATATAGTACAGTACCTGCAGTATCAAATAACCCTAATGTGTAAGGTTCCCCTCCAATCATAACAGTGACTGCATAGTTATCAAAAACTGTAGGCACATACTCTGATGGAAATTTGTTTGTGGTGTAGCTGTGCGAGCATAAAACAATAATTAACGCTAAACACCCAATTAATTGCAGTTTATTTACCTGATAAGCAAACATGTTTTACCAACTGCCCCGTCACCGACAACTACACACTTAATAGTCTGCATAATTGAGATTACTAATTTCTGAAACAAATATCATTTCTGAATATTTAATCAACAAATTACATAGTATTGTGTGAAAAAAAGTCAATGTTTTTTTCACTAGTGGAAGCTAATTTATGAATGCACCAACACTTTATTTTTATTAAAACCGGTCGATAACTACGTTGACGAGTTTAGTGTTGGGTTATAATGCGTATTCAAAGAATTTTAAAGTCTTTGAATCTGCCATTTTTTACAAATATGTACATAATGACGCTTTTAATGACTGCCCCGGAAACAGACTTACAAGGATTTATGAGACACACGACGATGCACTAGTTTGGAAATTCGTTCGAAACTTTCAGAATTATATTTTAAAAGATTATAAAGTCAATGGCACTTTATTAGGCACAAAAAATACTTACGTTGGGTTGGGTTCACAAGACACACAACCGTAACTTCAGGAATTTATTTCGTCAATACTGCCATCTATCAATTTCTTTTCGCATTAAACTATGAGTTTTCAGTTATAAATTAGAAGTTTTCAGTACTTTTGTTTAATTTCTTATTTACTTTTCTTTCATATTTAAGTAACTAGATCCCTCCCTTTACTTATTTGTTGTGGAAGGAAACTTATTTATTTAAAAAATAAGGTTTAAAACTATTATTTAATTATAACATATACCTTCTTGGTACTGTAAACACCACATTATGAATTATGACCATATATATTATTGTATATTATGATCCCAAAAGGAGTATATGGGATATTTTTAAATTTATATAAAAAATTGATTGTCATGTTCATCATAATATGGTCATATTACTTATGATAGTTTAGAGATATATATTACTTTCGCCCTACTGCACATTTTTCTCTTATCTATTTTTCTTATGGTCATATTACTGTCATGCTTCTACCATTTACCATCATAGTCATTATTGGAATGCAATGGAAGGACACTTACCTCAAAATAATAAAATAAAATTTGTGAAACTACCAAGTGTCTTAATTTAATGTTTCACCAACCTATATAATGATCATTCTATGCCATATCATTAATAATCCTGTGTCAATAATCATTCTATAATACCAATTACTGTAACCGACTGTAACCTCTTATTCGTGGAAAGTTCTGAGTTTAAAAGTTACTTTAATCAATTAAAAAATATGGAAGTGGGTGAATTGCTGAATTATAAGGTATAGTAAAATCAATTATGAACTTTACATTTGTTTAACAACAAACTTTTAGCCTCCGCAAGCTTTAAAGCGCCCAGGTAATGCTGGTGACGATGCAGAAGAAGACGAACATGAAAAACATAAAAAAATGCGAAAAATTGCTCGAGCCAAAGCTAATCAAATGGTAAGACCTCCATCTCCAACACCTTCTGTTCAAACTTTGGATGAGATATCTGAAGAAGAAAGACAAGAGATCTTAAAATTTGTAGAAACTGAACAGACTGAGGTAAACATTTACGTTATTTTTTTTTGATACAATATATTACTAAAATATTTATTTAAAGGGCGAAGTTATTGATGAAACTGCAATTAAAAGAATCATTCTGAATTTTGAAAAGAGAAGCCTTAAGAACCGAGAGATGAGGATAAAATTTCCAGATGCACCGGAAAAATTCATGGAAAGTGAAGTAGAGCTTCATGAAATTCTTCAAGAGATGAGAGTGCTATCAACAGCACCTGATTATTATCCTCTTTTAGTTAAACTTAGAATAGTCCCAAGTATTTTAGAGCTTTTGTCTCATGACAACAGTGATGTTGCTGTATGTTTTATTATGCCATCTTTTTAAACAAAAATTCCCACTTACCTTTTTCAGGTTGCAGCATTAGATTTGCTACAAGAATTAACCGATATAGACATATTAAATGAATCAGAAGAAGGTGCAGAAGCCTTAATTGATGCTCTTTTTGAACATCAAGTAATAGCACTTTTAGTTCAAAATCTTGAACGTCTAGATGAGGCTGTTAAAGAAGAAGCTGATGGTGTGCACAATACATTAGCAATAATCGAAAATCTGACCGAATTGCGGCCTGAAACATGCAATGAAGCCCAAAAACAAGGTCTTCTGCAGTGGCTCTTAAAACGATTAAAACTTAAAGCACCTTTTGATGTTAACAAACTATATGCAAGTGAACTTTTGTCAATACTTTTGCAAGATAATAATGGTAATAGAAATGCTTTAGGTAATTAAATGTTGTCTACATATTACTTCACGTTTACCGGTTTTATTTTTGTTTAGGTGAGTTAGATGGTATAGACACCCTTCTGCAGCAGTTAGCATTTTATAAACGGCATGACCCAAGTACAACTGAAGAGCATGAACTGATGGAAAATCTTTTTAATTGCCTTTGTAGTGCTTTAATGGTGAGTGCAAACAGGGAACGTTTCCTACGGGGCGAGGGCCTTCAACTTATGAACCTCATGCTAAGAGAAAAGAAAACGTCTCGTAATGGGTCTTTAAAAGTTCTTGATTATGCAATGGCTGGTCCGCAAGGGAAAGATAACTGCAACAAGTTCGTTGATATACTAGGGCTCCGCACGATTTTTCCTTTATTCATGAAAACTCCCCGGAAAAACCGAAAAAAAGTACTTTCAGCAGAGGAGCATGAAGAACACGTTACTTCTATAATAGCTTCAATGTTACGCAATTGTAGAGGCTCCCAACGACAAAGACTAATTAGCAAGTTTACGGAAAATGATCACGAAAAAGTTGATCGACTTATGGAACTCCATTTTAAATATTTGGAGAAGGTCGAAGCTCTAGATGAAACACTAGACGATAATGAAGAAAATCCAGACGCAAATTATCTGAAGAGACTTGAAGGGGGGTTATTTACATTACAATTAGTGGACTATATTGTAGTAGAAGTGTGTGCTGCGGGACCCCCGAGCATAAAACAACGCGTTATGCAAATTTTGAATCTGAGAGGCGGCTCGGTGAAGACCATCAGGCACGTTATGAGAGAGTATGCTGGTAACTTAGGGGACGAGGGAGATCAGGAGTGGCGAGACCAAGAGCAACAACACATTTTACACTTGGTTGATAAGTTTTAAGAAAGTTGATCCTCGGTTCTTCTCAGTTGATAACTCGTTATTTTATTTATGAAGCTTTTTCGTTTTTCTGTATTTGATGCTAATTGATGTATGTATTTCTTTAAATTATAATTATGTCAAACCAACAATTGATTGAATATGCATTATGTAATGCAAACATGCTAATATAAAATATCTTTTCCAAATAAACAAGGATATGTTAAATCATGACGATCATCGCCCAGTACTTTCCATTTGTTGTAGACACGAGTTCTGCCAACCGTACCGTCTTCTTACTTTAACTTTGCTATTCCACGTATAATGCGATTGTGTATTAAGTAGTGCTTCATTCTGTGTCGCTCTTCACGTCACTCAACTAATTTAGTGTAAGAAATTTTTACATCAACCTTATGATGCTTTTAAATGATTGTGAATAGCAATTTCGATAATTAATATTTCAGTTTTTTATTTTACGGTCCTTCAGATAACGTCCATTATTTTTTATAATGTTAAATAAAAGTAAAGAAATACTATTTTTAATACTTTTTATTATTGCATATTTTAATAAGTTAGGTAAATACTAAGACTAGAAATTATATTTCACCTAACAATAAGAAAAGATTAATAAAAACTGTGTTCTTTTCTAACAGGTACATGAGGAACTTACGTTAGAATGAAAAGGCAAAGTAACATCAGTATCATAATAGGCAGGAGATATATTACAATACTACACAGTGTAGAATAGCTATTTACACAACTGGCCCCTAATTCATTTAATTAAAAGAACATGTACTTATTGAACAATGTTAAGAAGATTAATAACGTAATAATTTAACATTCATCACAGAAAAATCCTAATATTAATGAATAATTAAGAATTTATTTGCAGATAATATTGTCTTAAATTGTTACTTCTATATTTTTTACAACGTCGGTCCAGTCAATCTTAGAAGGAGTGAGATAAAACGCTGGTGCAACCTGGCATCCACAGGGACACTGACACCCCATAATCCAGCTAAATGATCCTAATTTAGTTCCACACTTTGGACAATGCAGTTTGCCTTGTGTTGTTTGAGTAATACCCTGCATCCATGACAAGGGTTCCAAAAAGTATGTTTTTGTGCAAAAGCTTCCTTTAGATTCCTTACTTGGATGTTTAAGCAAATTTGAAGCTGAGGCAATTATTCTACGGCACTTCTTGCATTGGTACACATTTGGCTCAGGTTGAATCCTGGTCAAACCAGGATCAGGTTTTATCAGGTCAAAGAAGTCCTGTGGGAGAATTTTTACCTTTTTTACTTTCTCTGCTGCCATTCTAAGGCGATAAACCTTGTACTTTTGATGCTCTTTATCCACTTTATATCCCATATCTTTATACAACATTAGTTGAGAAATAAATCCTTGGTTTGGGAAAACAATAGAGCGCTTCATTTTTACTTTTTCAAATGCCTCTCCATATGCCAATTGGTACTTTTTCATTAAATAAGCTATAACCACAGTTGCACTGCGAGAAACTCCATAAAAACAATGTACCAGAACTGCTCCACTCTGTAATCCTTCACATATAAACGCATAGGTATCATCTAAACGACTTAAGAGATCTTCCTTTGGTAAATCCGACAGTTGAATAAACATGTTTGTGATAGATTTTAATTCCAAAATTTTTCGAGGCAATGGACAACTGTCTATTGACAAAATACGATTTATATTCAATCTTTTGAGATTATTTATGTCTGTTGCTGCTGAAAGATTCCCCAAATACAAATTTATTTCGATTTCATCAACACTAACAGGGCCCGCACTAAAAAAAGAATGCAGTACGTCAACTTTGAGGTTATTTGGGGTGTTTGTATTCATTTTGTATTTCTTCAGTTATGTTGCACGAGTTAAGTGACCAAAATCGTATTATTCTTAGTATAAGTTAGTAATAATGAGAATAACAAAACTACAACGCAATATACTGATATTAAATATTAATAGTAATTTGTATAACTTTGTTTGTAAATAAATTAAGATGACATTAACGGCCTACGGGCCTACGCATACTTACTGCACCATAGATAGTAATGTGCAATTATCTATGGGACATATGCATTACACATTTATTACATGAAGGCAATTTTATTTTTTTATCAAAATTTCCCTCGTCTATTTTACATCATCGACGTTTACAAATGGACATGCCTTAGCGATCAGAATATTATCTATAGTCAGAATTGTGGTACAACAAAAACAGAGATGGAACGAAGTTTCGGACGATTCTGTTACGATAGTACGTAGTGTGTCATGAAAGAGATAGCACTAGTCCGAAAATATACGCCATTTCCCTCACTTTGCGAGTCAAGAAATTATTACAAGGGCATGACAAGGACATACGGCTAAGGCACGTCCATTAATATTTGTCTATGTTTTACATATTGTCTATGGAAATGGCCAAAACCATAGATAAGATATATGTAGTAGTTTTATATATCTGTAATCTGTCTCTAATCATAGACAAGGTCTGTAATCTATGACCGACTTTAAACGTCAAATGTAAATAACAATTATTTTAAGATGGTTCCAAAAAGAGCTATAAAAAAGCAAAATATCGTAAAAAATAATAATTACAATAATTTATCATTAAATGACGTTTTGTGTCCTATATGTAGAGGTATTCTAATCGAACCGGTGACCCTTCCCTGTAATCATGGGTTCTGTTCTGCTTGCTTTAATAGTACCATGGCTAATACAAATTTGGTTTGCCCACTTTGTCGAGTACGAGTTGGCTCTTGGTTAAGAGCTTCAAAAAAAGAAAATAAACTTATTAACTCTAATTTGTGGGTAGCAATTCAAAAGCATTTCCCACAACATGTCAAAAATAAGTTGGATGGGGTTGATGAAGTGGTAGAAGGTAAGCGATAGAGTTTTATATTAGGTATAAATTTAATAAGTTAGTTTATTTTAGAAGTTCCTATACGTATAACCTCTGAACCTGGTGAAATTCGTCGTGAATATGAAGCTCAAAAAGTGAAAGAAGAAGAAGAATTAAGAAAAAGACAAGAGGAGGAAACAAGAGCTAGTGAACTTTTGATAAGAAAATTAAAAGAAGAAGAGGAGTTAGAAAAGTCAATTATTGAAGAAAAATTAAAAAATGATGAACAGGTAGCTAAACAATTAGCAGAAGAGCTTTGTTTTGATCCTGGACCTTCCACTTCAAAACATTCAGAGAGGAGTTTCAAAAAAAGAGGTCCTCTGGATACATTTTTGAGGAATATGGCCAATAAACAGCTCTCTGTCTCATTAAAACCAATACCAGATGAAAAATGTGATAATTATAGAAAAAAAGATTTTACTACACAAGTACTTTTACAAGATAGGTCTGCTAGTCTGATAAAAAACAATGACAGTATCACTTTTTATAAGCTAAATAAAGTTGCCAGTGAGAGACAGAGCCTTGATTCAAATGATGCAATAACTTGTGAGTGTATATATTTCAAACCTATTGAACAGAAAAAAATTCCGCCTTCTAAAACAATTAAAATACTTCGAGTTCCTGCAGTTGCTGCTTTATCATCATCCAGTACTTTAAGGTAACGTTATATTAATTGTATTTAATATTTGGTTATAAATAAACGAATATTACATATTTAGTTTTAATTTACTGTACATGTTGGTTCTTCTTTTCTAAAATTTATTAATTTATTTTAGGGCACCATGTGGACATGTAGCATTTAATCACTCTGCGCTGTTATCACCTTTTGTGAGATTATGCAACTCTCCAACATTAGCATTGTCACCTAGTCTCAAAACTGGTTTTATGAGTAGAAAGAGAAGTAACAGTAGTTGTGAGAAGGAAGAATCTCAGGATAACAAAGATAGTGCACCTTCAGGGAAAAAAGCTCGAATACAGCTCAATTTAAGACAGACAAGAAGTATGACAAAAATAAATAGTGGTTCTGTTCCTATAAAATTGTACAAGAAACCAGAAAAGAGAAAGTCTCTATTGAAAAACATTAAAACCTCTCCTAGGAAAACTGGGAATAAATGCAATGAATCATTTGGGGAAGAAGAGAACGAACAGGATAAAAAAAGATTGGACTGTGAATTTGATAGAAGTTTTGGTTCTCCATTTTTAGGCTTCGAAAAGAATTATAAGTTTTCCTTGAAAGGAAGAAACGGAGTGAAAAACTTAAGTACCATATTTGATAATTTCAACAGTAACAATAAGTCACTTAAGGATGACAACTTAAAATCAAAATCACTTTTTGATGATAAAAATAGTTCTTATAGAAATGGAGAACATAAGAGCGAAAATGCAGAAAAAATAGGTGATAGAAATAATGGAATTTCTTTAAATAACATAGAACTTGTAATAGGAGCAAAATGTTTAAGGAGCGAATCAACTAAAAGGAAGCTTCAAGAAGAGGAAGACTTCAAATTGGCAAGAAAGTTACATGAAGAGTTAAATTATGTCAAATATCCGACCAGGAACAGTATTAGTCACATTTCAAAAAAATTTCCCACTCCCAGAAGGCAAATAACGTTATATAAATTTTTAGAAAAGTAGATTTTTAAAGTTACTGGATCGATACTAACATAAGTATTATAATATTATATAAACAAGTGTTCTAATGTATATAATATTTTTGTTATTATTTTCGTAAATTTTAATTTTAGAATTAAACTGAAATCTAAGATTGGTTTTATTTGCAAATACCAAATAACAAAAACTGAAAAATGATAAAACCAATTTTATTATTTAGACACTATTTTATGTACATTTACAATAAATTATCATCTATTGAAATTGGTGAAGCAGTGACTTACTTTGCAACCTGAAATGTAAAAATGGATCATAAGCAAAGTTGTAAATCCACAAACAGGCTACTTAAGGTAAGTATGGTGAGTGAACCCCAGGTTAAAGATATAAAAGTTCAATTTAGCCTGGGTCAAATTCACTACAATTATCTGAAAAAGGTCTTATATTAAAACTTGATTTATTACTTTCGAAGCATGCAAACGCCACAAGGGATTGGGTTGGGTTACGGGGGATAGGATGGAAATAGGCAAGCTAACTTAAGTTTCAATATTGGTGCATGCAGTGTTTTCATCAAGAGCAAATGCTTCTTCTTCTAAAGCATATTCTTCCAACAGACATTGGCACACTTCACTATCCAAACCATCACTCACCTCTTTATCTTTTTCAAATACTTCACCTACAACAGGAGATGATTTAGTAGATTTTTTTCCTAAATTACTTGCCATGTCTATAGCCTCTGAAAAACTATTAGGTAATTTTGGCAATGAAGGAAGTTCATGTATTGGTTCACCCTTTTTTACTGCAATGCATATTATTTAAGTCTCTTTTAAATAACTTAACTGAGCAATTACCTCCATAGGCGAAATTATAAGCAATAGTTGCATACTTTCGGGCTTCTGCAAGGCCAATTTGTGCATAATATCTAGCCTCGTTAGGATAACATACAGAAGCAACAGTTCCAGCACCTAATAAAGAATACAATGTCTTCTTAAATAATCTGCCTCTAATTGCTAATATAAATCCAGCAAGGCCTCCTATAGCTATTGCACCATATCGGGGAAAGGTGTTGTCTTCTTTTTGCAGAAACTGAATAACTTCTATAAATTACACAATAAAATAAATACATTTAAAGATTTTTGATTTACTTACCATCAGCCCTTGATACTGTCGAATTAACCATACTTTCTCCTTTAAGCTTTACCTCCTCAAATGTACTGTATCCACTAACAAGGTGTTGGCGAATTGTTCTAATAATGTCTTCAACAAATGTAGGTTCTGGTGGGCAGTGATCTTGAATACTTGCTGTACTAACAGCTACTGTGTTTGAATAAATGGGCAATTCGGATCTTCTGCATACACAGTTTTGTGGTGCCATACCTTTTTTTCCTTCTTCAGCTACTGTTACGGCTGCTGCTGTGAGAAAGAATGGCCTGAAAACCTTTAAAATCATTAATTAACATGTGATAAACGATATAATAGGCACTTAATACTTTGTTTCTCATCATAATTAATAAAATAAATAATTTTTATTAGGACAAACCAATCCGATAACCTAAAAATACCGATGATGACAAATGGGTGACAATCATAGAAAAATAATATTATTGTGACATTCAATGACTGTTATTATCGCGCCTTTACAAACTTTTTGAAACTTCAATATTTGTTGGCATAAGAGATATTCATTATAATACAGATTAAAATTAACTGCCCTCAATGAATGTTATACGTCAAAGTAACTGCACTTTAATTTCTAATTTCTAGGTATATATATTTTTAAAAAAATATTATGTATTGTGTGAAAAAAAG